GCATGCGATGGCTGCTGTCCATTTTGGCACTTTGCTGCGCTGTAGAAGTCCTGCCGGGTGTGCCAGCCTTTTATGAGACGCTTACCAGACCGTCTATAAACATTTCTGGTTGGGGACTCAGATTGAATCTGGCTGTGATCGTCGTCCTGACTGCGACGTTAAATAATTCCTGAAGAGATGGGGGCGCTCTTAAAATTCCTCCTGATCAGCCAGATCAACCAGGTGTAAGGCTCGTTCCGTACGAGGGTAAATAAGAGTGGACTGGCTGGCTTGCTCGGTAACGACTTGGGCACAGGGGTAGGCCAACATTGCACACAAAGACACCGCTGCTCAATGATGCTGTTCGGTATGTTGGATTGAGGGGAGGGTAAGTTCTAATTGATGCTCAACTGGAAACACAACCATACCCACTGATCATACATCTGCAACATGGTCTTTTTGTATTCTTGATTAGTTGGTGGACAGACTGCTAACACCTCACAGACAGATTAGAATAGGACTGTTGTATACTACCATAGCCAGTTCTCTCTAATGCTGCTGTAAGTGAACCAATCAAGATACATCTAGACTATGTTGACAATCTGTTGTGAATGTTGTAGATTGCCATTTGATCGGTCMAGTAGGGGACCTGCCGGACACAACTATTTTTAGAAAATTAGGAGCCGGTCAGACACATGCTGTGGTAGGACTCCACTAGGGGGTTCTAGTGCAGATAATGTTTGCCTAATTGATGAACGGGTCAGACATCGATGAGGGAGCAGTTGACGATGCAAGACTGTCACGTTCGAGATCACGTAGGATCCCGAACGTGTTTCAGACCCTACAACCTGGAGACGAAGAACGGCTTCGTGCCGAACGCAGAGCCCGTGCACTAGCAGCAGCTAGGGAAACAGCGAACGCCGCAGCTAGGGAACAGGCTGCAGCAGCAGCCAGGGCAGTAGCCATGTCTTCTGCAGCAGCATCCTCGGTTGCATCCTCGTCTGGGACCAATGGGACCATGTTGGGAATGCCCACAGGGTCCATGGGTACATCCAGTTCAGTAGGTTCTCGGCAGTCTACAAGTCCAATGGCGGGCTCGCAGTTCATCCCGTTGACCCCACGCGAAAGGGAGCTCCTAGAGTTCCAACAGGTCGAAACGATCCGCGAACGGTTAGAGAGGGAACTGAAGCAAGCAACCGATAGAAAAAGAGAAATTAAAAATAGAACAGCCAGGCTTGAAACGTTAGAGGCTGACAAAGCTCAGTTAGAGAGTTTGGATGAGTCAGGATTGACTGAACCAATGAAAGTATTGAAGAACAATATGTTGTCATTGCATGCGCATGTGGACAGCCGATTGGACTTTATGCAGAACACTCTAGACCAGATCCTGGACATTTTGCAAAGGCCAGGATTTAGGCCACCAGCACAGTCGCCGTTGCCTTAACGACGATGTCAGGCCCCTTTCCCGTACAAGCTGGCACACAACCAAGTGGCACGTCTGCAGCAGCCGCACAGACTGTCGCTTCTTCTTCTTCGGGTCCAGCGGTGGGAGCTACACCACCGCAACAACCTGTTCTTCAGCAAGGACAACCGCAAGGTCTATGGTACCCTAAGACCCCTATAAAACCGCATCTCGCCTTCTCATGCGAGAAGAAGGACGAAGAACTCAACACTTGGTTGAGAACAGTTCCAGTTTGGGTAAAGGCGAAGAGGACTTTGGAGGAGGAGGAGGTGATTACTGCTGCATCTTAACTTGAGGGTAAGGCAGCCAAATGGCTGGATGGTGTAGTTACAAAAGCCGGGTATGGGAGACGCATGGTGGACTTGGCTAAGTCTTTTACATTAGACCAGTTCTTGGAGATGGTAGAAGCTCGCTGGCACAATCCTCAGCAGGCGCAATTGGCCACTGATGCGATAAACAGACTAGACCAACAAAGTTTAAGTCAGTCAGAGAACTTACGACTACCATTGAAAGCCTAATCGTCGTTCCTGGTATCAACTACGATAACCAGTTCTTATTGACAACGTTTGTGAGATGTCTCCCAGAGAATCTCAGAAACTTGCTGGCCAGCGAGGCACGCCTCGAGTATCACTCTTTTGAGACATTGTCTAGAAAAGCCTTAGATTTGGAGGCCACTCTAGGGAATGCTCAACCTACTCAGAATGACACGAGGAAGAAGAAGAGTCCGCAGGAATGGAAGAAGAAGGGGGCTAAATTGATGATGGTTGAGTCCAATGGGACTCGAACAGAAATTGATGAGCTCACAGACCTGCTGGACGTTTCAGAGTTTGACGGCGAGGAGATCGCTGAGGGTCGCCACAGTAGTCAAGGCTAAGGTGGGTGGCCGAGTTAAGGGCCATCCAAAGAGTCAAGGGAAGGCCGCCTCCAATCAAACCAAAGTGGCTGATTGGGTCAACGCAGGTCTTGATCAAAACGTGTGGCAGGACCGCCGAGTGCGTGGCGCTTGTATAAATTGTGGTGAATACGGACACACCCAGTACAAGTGCCAGAACGCAAAGGTCACGCAAAAGATACCTCCTAAGATGGGGGCATCTTCTTCCCAGACTTCTAGCTCGGGAAACACGTGAGGCTAGTGGAAGTTTTAGCTGCTTCTACTCATGGTGAAGTGGGCCCGATACCCTCCCCACTTCATGAGATGGCCATAGCTAATGACTCTTTAGTCACCCCGCAGACTCATCCAGACCAAACTATGCTATGTACGCTGGATGTGTCTGAAACCTTAGAAGATCTGGAAAGCGAGTGGTCAAACAAGGACCCTCGTGAATCTTGGGTGGCACTAAGGAAGGGTCCTAGAGGGGAACATTTCGTGGTGGAAGTTGATGCAGGAGGCCGCAAATGTGGTGCCTTCATAGACATTGGCTCCACGCGGAATTACATAAGTCGCGACTGTTTGGAAAGGCTGCACATACAGGACCGGGTACAACACCTTCGTAGACCCGTAGCATCTACTTTGGCCAATAAGGAGCGCATGATAGTCACAGACTATATCAAGGACGTAGTCTGTACCTTCTCCTATGGAGGAGGGGAACTTAATCATAAGATTTTGTTCCTTGTTAGCGACGGCTACCTTGAGGTTGCCAAGCCCCGGTTTGACTGGGACAAGAAGGTGTTAAAACATAAGTTGCCCGATGGCAGAACAGTCAGATTGACTAAGTTCAAAGCCAGTAGCATTATAGATATATATGGCTGCTTGTGTGCATCAGCGTTCTATAACTATTACAAACAGAACCAAGAGGAGGGTATGTACCTAGTGTATGTCTCTGAGAAAGGGGAGGCCGTTAAAACACCCCCAGAGATAGAACACGTCGTTGCTAAGTTCCCTGATCTGTTCGAAGAGCCTACAGGAGTTGTAGAAAGGGAAGTTGTCCACGCTATAGAAATCATTCCAGGGAGTAAAACCCCAAAGGGAAGGATCTATAGGATGACTCCCGCCGAGTTAGATGAACTTCGGCGACAACTGAAAGAGCTGACAGAGAAGGGATGGATCCGGCCTAGTACTTCCCCTTACGGATCTCCAGTACTATTTGTGCCAAAGAAGGGGGGTACACTGAGGATGTGCATTGATTATAGAGGCCTCAATGCCATCACAGTGAAGAACGCAGAGCCTCTACCTCGCATAAACGACCTACTGGATAGGGTGCAGGGATGCAAGTACTATAGCAAGATAGACTTGAAATCCGGCTATCATCGGATTGCTATAAGACCTGAGGACCACACAAGACAGCTTTTTGGACTCGATATTTCTGTGCCATGCTGCAGCAGCAGCAAGGTATGGACGTCCGGTAGGGACTTAGACCACCTGGGCCGTTTTAGGCCACACAGCACCAGGTAGGCCCAACCGCCCAGCGCTACAAATAACTGGCAGCGGTTGGGCCAGAGACAGTTCGGGTCGCTCACTTCTGAGCGACATGCTGTTGGTTGAAGGTTGCGCTATGCTGCGCTGAGTAGCGGAGTAGGGAGTAGAGGAGATAGGGAGTGGCGGAGGCCATGCCTGCATCGGCGAGCTTACCTGGCGCCATAGCTGGACTCCACGCGGTACCTGCACACAACAACGGACGAAGTCAGTTCAGTGACAGCTACCTGCAGGTGAGATAGTGAGGAGGGCTACATCTTTTTCTCTCCCTCCTCTCTCTCTCTCTCTCTCTCTCTCTCTCTCTCTCTCTCTCTCTCTCTCTCTCTCTCTCTCTCTCTCTCTCTCTCTTCTCCCTCCTTCCTCCTTCTTATCTCTTCTTCTTCGAATCTGAGAGTGTGAGAGGTTATCAGTAGGGATTCAGGCAGAGGTTATGCTGGGCGCATC